TCACTAAGAACAAGTGAGGCAAATTAAAATAAAAACAACATCCCTGGTTCCCACTAATTTATTTTAATACAAAGGCAAACTCATGTAGCATTTGGTGCTTGTTTCATGAAGAAAATGATGCCCTGCATTCCAAAGAGCACATTTTTATCATCAGTGCGTTTGCTGGCTTTATTTCCCCAATCCAGCAAAGGGTTCCACATAGACAGACCTCGCCAATGCCAATGGATTTGTGTTGTACTGAAGGGTAGAATAAAATCACCTGAGCTAAGCAGCCTTTCTGGCTTGAAATCTCCTTTTGGATAGTCCAGTCTGGATAGTCAAACATTTTACTGCTTCTTAATAACTGATTTATTATTAAGTAACTGCCACATTTTTTTATTCATAACAGTAAATTTTCAAATACCTCACATCAAACGACCTGCTCAGCTGATACTTTAGCTGGTCATTAAGATTTCACAGCACCTGCATGAATTCCATACACGAACTTTTGTGGGATTTTTTCCTCCTCCACAAAATCTCTGCCATTTCAAGCTTTTATTCTACGCAGTTTAAAAAAGAAACCTGATGTGTAAAATAATTAAATAGTGAGTCAAATGGCAGAGCGTGATGAACAAGGTCACCCCTCTGCTCCAGTGTTACACTGCCGAGATGCCTGAGGATCCACTCAGGTACGCTCACCACTGAGATAACTTTCAGCGAACCCGTTATATACTCTATTTTTTATTTTTAAATCACACTTCTCTGGAAACATATTTAAAATGTATGAGTAAGCAGGAGAGATAACGTGGCAGTGCACTTCATGGACTTCTTGTAGGAAGGAGTAGCTCTGTAGAGCAATAAAATTTCAAAACTTTATAAATGTAAACATGCAGCTTCCAAAACATTCCTTTAGAGTGGACAGAAATAAGAGAAAAATAAAGATGGCAGATCTTGACTAGGTCTCCTATCAAGGCTAGCAGTGACAAAAAATTAATGAAGATGTAAACATGAATAAAACTTCTTCAGAATATTATAACATTTTATGCTTCCCTCAAGAGCCAAGCCTTCACTTTCAGTTATGTCACATCAAAGTGAAAAACACTAATTTAGTTCAGTAAATCCCACTTTTTTTTCTCACCTCAAAACCAGAACTCTATAGCTGCTTGTATTTACACTGAATTCCATGAGCAGCATAACTGGTGAGAGCTAAACCACAAACGTTCACCACAAATTAACTTGGAGAAGAAATGAAGGCAAAAACCACTCATTGTTTAGTGGCCATGGTGGCATTGGGTTGATGGTTGGACTTGTTGATTTTAGAGTGTTTTTCCAATCTTAATATTCTGTGATTCAGAGTCATACCCACAAAGGTGGTACGTGGTGCCAGGTACAGTCTGAACGCCCAGTCATCGGCCAGCCAATCCCATCACTATAAAAACTACAACGTACAGCTGCTTAAACCATAAATATGGAACAGAAAACACAAAAATGTAGAAACAAAATCCATCAGTGCTGCTACAGATACAGATCTACAGGATTTATGGGGACACAGTGAAATTTTCCACCAGAAGCAAGTAAAGGGGGGCTGATGTAAAACATCCTGAGCTGCTGCTGACAGCATGAGGTGACCAGGAGCTGTGGCGTGTGTGAGGTGCCAGCACGGCAGGGAGAGGACAGTTTGCTGTGGGCACCTTTGATCTGCTCCACTGAAACACCAGACACCACAAAAGCACACACTGTCCCTTGAGTCACTGCCATGGGAAAGCAGACACTGGAACTGAAGCACCCCAGAAGGACGTGAAGCTGCTGCTCAGCTCAATGCAACACCCAAACCATGCTGTGATTTGATTCAAGGATATAGAAATATCAGCTGCTTCCTCATGCTTTACTCACCATGCATCACAGACTATTAGTTCAGGATATAATAATGTACTGTTCCTTTTCCCCCAGGATTTGTGCATCTGTCATCACCCAGGCCAAAAGCACTCCAGGTATTCAGGACCGGCATTTCCCGGCTCAGTTACAGAGCAGCCAAGGTACCCAATTTTTCAGTGTTTTCAACGGCTTAAAAGTCAGTTTAACTTGGTTCTCTGTATCAAGAACGTTGTCACGCCTCTTGTCCCAAAGAGAACAAAAGTTTCATGGGGTTTTCAACAATTTTTTTCAGCCTAAGATTTAAATGTAAAATTCAATGACTTTTCCAGCCGTACCACCCTTGTGAAAGCTACAGCCAATTTTATTTGCATTAATATAAAAAAATCATTGATTAAATTTGGTAATAGTCTAAGCCACTGAAAACAGTGATCATCTTATAGGAAACATTGAGCAATCTTGGTTTTCTTATACAGCAATACTTAAAGAAATGATGGGCAGGATGATGCACAGGCTGGAACAGGTCCTCCAGAACAGGAATTTCTTTGTAAGCACTGATTTTTTCAGCACAAAATGTAGAGATGCTTTACTGAACCTGCTCATTGTATTGTCCTCATATTACAGTTATTGCTCTATAGTTATGCATCTCAATTAAAGTTAAGAAATTAGAGCCTAAATATAACTAACTGCTCGATGGGATGGGATTTGTCTGATGTAAAATGTCAACTTAGGGAAGTAAATTCAGATTTTGAGAAGATGGGCCACAAAGCCATGCAAGCATCACAAAAAAAAAATACAAACTGCAAGCATCTTTCTTTGGTCTTCTAACATAAGAAAGTGGCAAATCTCCATGCAGTTAAAAGTGGAGAAAACTGAAGAACATGTATTTTTACAGTGTATGTGAACAATCTGTGCACTCCCTATTTACTGGAACCTCTGAAGTAAACAGCTTCACAAAACTGAAAGGGGAACTCTAATAAGGGTAGTTTTTGTATCAGCACAAGTGCAATGACACAAATACCTCATGTAAAGATGTTAAACCACGTATTGCAAAACTTAAAAGATTGTCTTATTAGGCTCAAGGACTTCTTAAATCAAGCCAAGACATGCAAGGAAGACAGATTACCCTATAATTACTCTATAATTGCGATTTTACCATCCCTACTTCTTCCTTTGAGTCACGCTGTGGTTTGCAGAGGTGAGGACAGGAGACCTAATTCAATGCACTTGAGACTTCCTACAGCAGCAGTGAGTGCCAACACTCCAGCTCCCAGAAATGCATGAGACCACCACTGAAGCCACAGTCTCAGCCACTTCACCAGAAAAATGTAACTCAGTAACATGAAAATTATCCAAGTTAAACTGGAAAAAATAAAATCTACAGTTCTGGATATTGTGCAAAGGACTCTGGTGCTTACACTACAGAGGAACTACAGCAGCCTGCGCACCAGCAGATAACTTCACTTGTGCCACACACAATGGTTTTTTATTTTCTCAACACAAATTAAATGTTAAAGTATACTTGAGAAGGAGCTGTTTTTGCATTGAGATTGTTTTATTTTGATTAATTTTTCCACCTAAAAAACACATGTCAAATGTAGTTCTGTTTCCTCAAGGCAGTCAGGTAGTAGAACCATTTTGAAAACTGCAGAAACTCCAATTTCTAGAGAAAGGTAAATAATAAAGTGATCTAACTGCTTATGATATATCACCACTCATGTCTATTTATACAGACAATAAGATACTCCTAAAAAGAAAGTGGAAATAAGCTTTCTGGTTATACTGAACAGAGAAGAAAGCCAAGTATTAGAGCAATACTCAAGACACTTTCAGTGCAGTGAGAGCCTCTCAGGCCCGTCTCTAGGGTTACTCCAGTGTAAGTAAAGGCAGAAAGTGAATGTCAAGAAACAAAACATACAGACTAAAAGTACGTAATCACCAAATTTTGGGCTGTGGCACTGCGATAGTCAAACCTGGCACTCAGACATGTACACGCATTATTTCGATATAATGCCAATCTCTTAATGGAGGAAAAGCACACGTCTTTTCAACACAAACAAATGCATTTTTAGCATCTTTTCCCAACAAGTTTCAATTAAAACATGAAGAGTCACAGGTGGCCTCCTGCTCTTGTGACAAGCAACATGATTTAGGTAACCAGTGAAACCAGTTAATTCCTTCAGTTTTATCTTTTCTAGTGATGTCATCTTGAAGTTATTTGGAATTAGGGGTTTATTATTATTTTTTACCCAGGCTCTTGTCTGAAATATATAATACATAGATACATACATATGTACATACATATATATAATACACACATATATATAAATATATAATACACATATATTTCATATATATTGAAGGATCAGTGAAATTCCTTCACCATGACTAGCACCAAGTGCTACTGCTTCCCATTTGACATTACACAGGGTGCATAAGGCAGCGTGGTAATTATGTACCAATTTGATGACTCAAAGCCGTGCCCAGAACAGCACAACCCCTCTGGACTCTGAAGGTCTTAAAATGCAGTGCTAAGAATGCAGCATCCATTTAAAATGAAGGGAGATTTGAGAGATACCAATACAAATAATGATCTTGTAATGCGTTATTGTCTCAGCAAAGTTCACAAGATTTTTTTAAGGCTCTAGAGGGTCCTCTTGAAATCTGTAAGAGCAACGATAACACTTGAAATTATCCTATCAAGGGCAGATCATTAGACAGACTCAAATTTAATGAATTAGGAGAATAGAAACTGGCTTAGCCTGTCCTACTTCTCAGTTCTGTTGCTGATAGCCAAAATTCTGCCTGGCCTTCCACTCAAAAGGACAGGATTTCCTTTGATTTTAAAAGAAAAAAAAAAATTCTCCCTGATGTTTTAATTAAGACTGACAAGTAACAGTATAATTGTATTACCACAATCTTTATTGTTTTACTCCCTTCCTTAATTTTTCCCCATTACTCACCTGACCTGTGTCCCCAGCAGGGTGACTCTCTCCAGGTGACCTATGGCACAACACCCACTTCTTATTTGGGCCTGAGCAGAGCTGTGAGTGCTTTCATAGCAACAGCCACAACTTAAGTGCTTTAAATATATTTTTTTCCATTTCATTTTACTTGGACATTTGCTCAAAACATGACAATTCTCTTACCTAACGTTTCCTTTTGCAGTTCCCGGCACCTGCTCTGCAGCTCATTCCCTTGCTGCAGTGAAGTCTGAAGCTGCTGAGTTTTCAGCTCAACCATGTCGGCCATCACCGTCAGATGCTTTACCTTTTCCTGGAGGCATTCGTTCTCTCGCTGGGTTTTTGCCAATCTTTGATTCAATTTGGGGATTTCTGAGGAGGAAAAAAAATCATATAGGCTGTTGTCAAATTTTCCTTCTTCACTAAAATTTTACACCTGATTCATGACACCAAGACTTCAGCGTCTGTAATCCTAGTTTGGGTATTTGGATATTTTCATTATCTACAATACTTCCCAACTACTCTGCACTTAAATCAATTCATTGTTAGACTAAATGATGTAAATACCAAAACACTTAAAGTTCTTATACTTTTTTTCTACTTGCCATTAATTAACCAAGTCTAAATATGTACATATACAAGGACTTATATAAACTGTTTTCAAACTAACCAAGCAAAGTGATCTAGGCATAAAGAAGAGCACCTCATGTAACATTTTTCTTCTCAAAATCTGAATGGAAAACAAGTTCTGGAAATCTTGCTGGTAAAATAAACCAAAAACCTACTGTATATTAATATGTTGCCATACAGCAGTAATGAACAACTGAAACAGAACATAAAAGCTTTTGAACAGCACTCACAGGCCAAAAAAATAATGATGTGTGACTAAGTCATTTTAATTTAGAAAGCCAGATGTAAGGATGTATTTCTCAGTGGGAAATAATGAATGCACTCACGAATACATGGCACATGTAATGGTACATGTAATAATTAAAAGAACCTGAAAGGCTGCACTTCTGCTTCCATACAGATATTCTATATATTTGCTGTATTACAACAAATAAAACAAAGGATACTGCAGAAAAGAAACCTTAAAATGAATCTCTTTGGACTTTAAGATGCCTGCAGAAAGACACATTCCTATTCCCTGTGTTAGCTACAAGCAGGCAGAGAATTAGCAGAGGAAGAGAGGAACCTTTTGGGATGTACAATTCAGCTTAATTAGGAGATGAAGTAATGAATTAAAAAGCGTGCTATTGACACTGACATTTCAATTAATTGTCCTTACAAAACCTGACTACTACAGAATGATTTTCCGGTCATGTTCACCCACAGTGGGCACGAGCCCGCCTCTGGACGCCCTGGCCACACTGTCCCCATGTGATGTGTGCCCCTCGCTCATGCACCACAGCTGCCCCACTCATTTCTACCCAGTCTGAACAAAGCAATCATTGAACACATTAAAAATTACTCCTCGTTAGCTGAAAAATTACTCTTCCTGAAGCTGTGGATTTGCACTGGAGTTGATGGTTTCCCCACTGGTGATTTGGGC